CTCGCAGTCGCCGAGGATCAGGTTCATGTGCTTGTCGAACGCCTTGAAGGTCCCGATGAACGTCCGCGAGTCCTGGAGGACGATCCGCACCCGGTAATTCAGGTGCTGAATCATTTTGTTGTTCTTGCCGATCGTCTGAAATTCAAAATTGAGTTTTTAGTTGTGAAATGTAATTTATGGATGAAAGGCGCGCCATCTTTGGCAAGCCAGCTGGAGCAAATTGTAAAAATTCCGGTTTATATTTTTAATAAATATCTATAACTGGTGTTCTTTAACTATTAATTGCAAGTTTCAATCTGAATTAATTGAAAACAAGGCTAATGAGTAATTTGCGAAACAATTTGTTTTATTTATTCGCATGCATGTGTGTATGTATGTACTAATGTAAATACGGAACCCTAACCGCGAAAATATTGTACGAAAAACTACAGCACCTTTAAACAACTAAGCAAAAACTAATAGATACTTTGCGTAGGTTGAATTTATATTTTTACTTACCATTTTATCTGATTTCTATAATAATTAAGCCGCTTGTAAATAAAATGCAGATGCCGGAACCTCAACACACGGCGTTTTTCGATAGGAATCAAGAAGAAATCGAATAGTGTATGTGGTATTCTGTCTGTTCAAGAACATTGCAATTGTACCTATCGAATATAAATGTATCGAATTAAACAAATTAAAAAACTTTATCGGAAGATTTAATTGTTGTAATTGTTTTTATTTTTTATAAATATAAAATTACATTTTCAAAAACAATATTTTTTTACCTATTTCATTTGTTTTCAAATTTAAGTAATTTGTTTTTTTTTTTTTGTCTGTTTAAAAAAATTTTCTTTTAATTATTATTAAGATTTATATGCTTTTAAATTACCAGAGTTCGTATTATCTTCTAAAAAAAATACAACCCATAGTGATTCATTTATCTAATCTCAACAGAACAATGGTGCTATGGGTCATACTTTGCATATAATTTATCAAATAATTTCTCAGTTGCGTGACTTTTCTATTCATTCAACAGTTTGGAAGCTAACTCTTCTTTTTATTTACTACTAAAGTTGACAGCACAACTGATAAAAAATCAAAAAGACAGTCGGCACAAACATTTTTAGTATTCCATATTTCACCGAATGTTCTTACGGTTATCGAATACTTTTCCAGCCCAGAACGAGCGCCATCCCTGGATAAATGTGTAAATCGGAACCACGACCCACTGTTCACATGCGGCCACGTCATTTGAACTCTCTTCGGTTCTCTCATTTATGCTGACATTCTGAGAAGTTTTTTGAGGAAGCGGCAAAGCCCTCCGTTTTTTACTCGTTGGCAAATTAGGCGAAAAGTAATTTTGGTAACGTATGCAGCTGCTGGGGCGCTGGAAAACGGCCATGGCTATAACTCACACTCCGCCTTCCATTTAGGGGTGCGTTCTGAGGCGCAGCAAAGAGGCAAAGGCAAAGGGAAAGGAAAAGGAATAACGCCAAACAACAGCCAAGTCGACGGATAAGATCAGGATGAACATTTTCCGATTCGCTGGCGATTTGTCGCATGTGTTTGCGATTATAATACTGCTGCTGAAGATATGGAAGACCCGCTCGTGCGCCGGCATCTCGGGCAAGTCGCAGATCCTGTTCGCGGTGGTCTACCTGACGCGCTACCTGGACCTCTTCACCACCTACGTGAGCCTGTACAACTCGGTGATGAAGGTGCTCTTCCTGGCCACGTCGGGGGCCACGGTCTACCTGATGTACGTCAAGTTTAAGGCCACCTACGACCACAACCACGACTCGTTCCGCATCGAATTCCTGCTGGTGCCCTGCGCCCTGCTCTCGCTGGTGATCAACCACGAGTTCACGGTCATGGAGGTGCTCTGGACCTTCTCCATCTACCTGGAGTCGGTGGCCATCCTGCCGCAGCTCTTCCTGGTCAGCCGGACCGGCGAGGCCGAGTCCATCACGAGCCACTACCTCTTCGCCCTGGGATCCTACCGCGCACTCTACTTGCTCAACTGGGTCTACCGGTACATGGTCGAGTCGCACTACGACCTCATCGCGATCTTTGCCGGAGTCGTCCAGACCGTCTTGTACTGCGACTTCTTCTACTTGTACATTACCAAAGTTCTTAAGGGCAAGAAGCTGCAGCTGCCGGCATAAGTGCATAGAGGCGGGGCATTTGTTTATTGGTACACATCATCAATCGAGGGCGCAGTAAACAAACGAATAGTCCACGGGCCGTCTGACAACGCGTATTTAGTTCATATTACACAGAAGGTACAGAAATCGGGAGGAGCGCTTAAGTTGTAATTATTTTATGAGAAATAAACCGAAAATCGGAAGTCAAACTATCTTGCAATACCGACATCGTAATCGTACATTGGAAATGTAACAAATGTATTAATCTCCGTTTTCCGAACGAACTGCACACACTCGGCTCTCACAAACTTTGAAATCCAAAAATATTAAAACAGTACTCCAGTACGAGATAACTTTATAATTAACAACCACTAAACATGTTTTCTCTTTTAAGCGGAGGGCTAATTGATCCACAACAATATCACAAAAGAGGTCATAGATTTCTTTGTCTAACTTAGGATTAAAAAGATATCCATTAAATAGCTTCTAAGCCGACTGTATCCTACAAATTCTAGTAAGTTTAAGTCGTATTGTTTCGCTAATCGAAAAGTTCATGATGAGCGATGTCAACATATAATATTAATATTCTGAGTAACAGGCCGCAGGATCGTAGTAACTCCAACTTTTAGAAGTTTTGCACAATTGTATTGAATTCCAAAAAGATGTATTACATTTCTGCCACACCCTTTTCGCCTTGCATGCTTTGTAGTCCTACCAAGTGAAAATTAATTTAAAAGATGATCCCTTACAAAACCAATATAAACAAAGTGGCATAAACAATATTTTAAACATTTTTGCAGATATATTATAAACAAAGTAAAATAAATAAATGCGGTGTCTTTCATTTATTAGGTAAAAGCGTAAAAAACCACAAATTAAAAACCATTTAAGAACATACTTTTGATACCTTTAGCCTGTACAGTTCAGATGGAATGTGACGTGGAATCGAATTTTTCAAAATCTGAGATGGAATAGATTCCATTTTTCATTTCGAGTTTACACTTCAAATGGAATTTGGTCAAGACTCTAAGGAAAGCCTCGTATGTTTAAGGGGTTATATAGTATATAAAAAAAATAAACCTATGGTCCGAAAAAAATGGCGGAAAAAAAGCGGCTTGCGGTGACCACGATGGAAGTCCAGCAATTCAACTGAGATAAAAAAACCAAAAAAATGTTATTTACTATTTCCAGTACGTGAACGATTATTTTCAAGAATATTTGTTTTTTTCTGCATACAGTAACAATTTTTCCAAAAGTTCGAGTTCTAAAAATTTTATTAAATCAAAATCAAAATTGGCGCTTAAAAACTGAATCGTTCACGAACTCGGCACAATCATTACGAATAATTTAAAAAAAATTGAAGAAGATCGATAAAATAGTTCTTGTGCAATCGTGGTCACAGCGAAGGCACTTTTGGAAAAACACGACTTCGAGATAATCGCATTCAAAGTTTTACGTTGAGTATATGCAACTATTGAAGTCGAGCAGACAAAACGCTGTTTTCCTATGGAACTATTATTCGGATCTCTATGAAAATTTGAAAAAATTTTCTCTAGGGAACATACTTTAGGATTCAGCAAAAAAAAATTTTTCGTTTTTTGAAAAAAAAAAGTATATAACCCCTTAACATAGATTAAAGCCATTTTGAATAGAAGCCCTTGTAAAATGTAACATTTGCTCGACAGTAATATAACATCGATCTTTTAATATCATTTTATTTTACTCAATTGGAATATGTGTGTGAGTACACACAAAGCGAGAGGGACCGCTAGCCCATGGGTGGAAATAAGGTTTATAAAGAAGATGATGAAGAAAACCACAGATACTGTGGATAATAGAAGCCGGAGATCTTCTGAAGTCAACCAATGAACTTATGTCTTATCACTGGTGTAGCAAAATAAAAATATTTAAAAAAAATTATAATTTGTCGTCGATTTTTTCAGTAGCAGGCTGGTTTTATAGGCAAAGGTTCTGCCATAGCACAACCCCTGGGAATATAATTTGTTTCTGATCATCTTACAATAAACCATACGTATACCAATATATGGATGCATTTAGAATAGATTCAAGTAAAAGCAGGCACAATATTTATACCTGTTACTCGTCGAGTAAAAGGGTATATTGTATTCTTGCAAAAGTATGTAACAGGGAGATGGAAGCGTTTCCGACCCTATAAAGTATATATATTCTTGATCAGGGTCACTAGCCAAGTCGATCTAGCCATGTCCGTCTGTCCGTCTGTATGAACGCTGAGATCTCAGAAACTACAAAAGCTAGAAGGTTGAGATTTCCCACACATATTCTTTGGCTTCCTACGCAGCGCAAGTTTATTTTAGCCGAGCGCCACGCCCCCTCTAACGCCCACAATCGCCCACTAACGATTTTAAAATGGGTCCTGCGCCCACATTTTTAAAAATTTCCGAGAAGTATAAATGCAATTTTGTTGTGTATATTTATACCTATCGAAATGTAGAAGACATTTTTCAATCCGGACCATTCATTAAAAAGTTATACGCAATCAAAATTTATATATCTATCTCCCTCGCACTCCCTTTAGCTGAGTTACGATTATTAGTCGGGACACCAACCCGACTATAGCGTTCTCTTTTGTTTTGTTTAGTTTGGTTAACTGAGTGACAGGTGATAGTCGAGGCACTTGAATATAGCACTCTCTCGTGTTTTTATCCCAAACGTTGATGCTTAAATCCAAATATATTTATATATCTAATTAAATCAACCTTCGATTTAAAGATGGCCCCAAACCAGCACCCTTGAAAAACGTAATATTTTGTTGCATTTAAATTTAATTTGGGCAACTGCTTTACATTAAAATGTACATTATAATTTATAAACTATGAATATTAAAGCAATTTATAAAGTAAGATAGCGCAGGGCCTTGTCCAGAAAAGTCTGTTCCGGCGAACTTTTGCGACTGTTAGTAAGCCGTCTGTTCTGGTCACGATTGACCTCGCTTGCTGCGGGATGTTCGGTGTAGGGGGTCTTGGGGTATTCTCTCTTCAACACCATATTAATAATCCGAGATCTGGTAGAGGTATGCTTGGATTGCGTTATTACCACGGAGCGCGGACGCACGAAGGCCGCCGTATTTAAGCAGCTGACTTCAGATTCAGCAGAGTCTGAATCCTGACTAGAAACGCCGACGCAACTAGAATAGGAGACACTGCTGCGCGCTGAATGGGAGACACTTCCGTAAGCCTCGTCGTCGTAAGTACAGTATTCGGGCAGAGCCCGGGGTTCTGACACCGCATAGGGAATACACTTCGCCTCCAGGTACAAGAGAGGCTCGTCAGCGGCCTCATCGGCACTGGGAGTTGGACTGGCGCAGCGTTCGTCCTTCAACTCGTTCATACGCGCCTGCTGCAGCTTTTGCTCACGTCGGTGCTGTCGACGCTCGTCCCTCTCTTTTTCTAGGCGAGAGATGGTTTCCAAACTGTCGACGAACAAGTTCAGATCGCGCTGCCTAAAGTGGGCTGCGTTCAGAGTGAATTTGGTGGATATTGACGGCAGGTCTTTCGCGTATGCGTCCAGGATCTGGGTGCAAGTGTATGCTGGCATCTTGATATGTTCGAGAAACTGAACTGAGGAACACGTCTTTTAGCTATGGTGGCAGCTCGACAACTGTAGCTAGTGGTCCCCCTTCGGGTCTTATTATACGCAACAGGTAGGCACGTAATTTTTTTATTGCGGGCTTTGGGCATTTCATACCTGAAATGACCAATAAACTAACCATATGTTCCATAGGTAGTCAATAACGGAACGCAAATGTAATCCGGGAATTTCTTAATATGTACTTAAATTTCAGGTTTCCCCTAATCCTCAAAGCTCAAATTGACCTGTAAGGAAACAAACCTATCCAATCCGCCAATGTAACCTGACCCAATATCTGTAAAGGCTCATTCCATGTGAAACGTGACAGGCAAATTGAGGTCAAATCTCAGAAAATATTCAAACGTTGTTTTCGAAATATAACGAATATTTTGTAAAAGTCTTTTTAGAATTAAGCTCCGATTTTAAATGTATGCAGCACTTGAAACTCGTTTGAGTTATTTTAATATTTGGTATGTAACTTTCTTATAGGGTCTTCCCACAGTGCTCCATCCACCATCTACCATCCGTTAAACGGATGGTCCGTAAGGTTTTGCCGTTCCAAAAATTTCCCAGCTAGTCCGCCATCCAATTTTGACGGACTTTGAAGGGCTCTTTTATGCGATAATTAGGCGATGGTGCAACTCTGAATTCTTCCTCCTGACTGTGAAAAATGGAACGATGACTGCGAGAACAAATCAAATCGATGGCGCGAAAAAATTAAATATTGCTTCAGCTCAATGTTTTTTGGGCTTTTTTGAATTATTTGTAGTTTGTTATGAGCGGAAAAGCGTTCGCAAGCAGGTTCCTATGTGTGGGCCAAAATGTAAGCTGTTGTGCGTACGAAAACATCAATGTTTGCAGCAAAGTGTCAAAATATGTTCTGCACTTCGTGAATATAACTAATATTAATTAAAAGTGTACTTTGTACTCCTTTAAATTTCCAAAGTTGCTATAATTTACCAAAAACAGCATAAATTTGGTTTTGTTTACAAATTTTTCATATTAATATTGGCAAGGCAGAGGCGTAGTAAGAGCGGAGTGTGGGGTACGGCAGGTTAATATGTTATAAACGTTCAGATATGTTTTTAAACTATTTTCTTAATCTATTTATTGTATTATTCTACAATAAAACAAGAGAGAACGCTATAGTCGGGTTGTTGTCCCGACTATCTAATACCCGTCACTCAGCTAAAGGGAGTGCGAACGCTGTGTCGGGTTGGTGTCCCGACTAATAATCGTAACTCAGCTAAAGGGAGTGCGAGGGAGATAGATATATAATTTTTGATTGCGTATAACTTTTTAATGAATGGTCCGATTTGAAAAATGTCTTCTACATTTCGATAGGTATAAATATACACAACAAAATTGCATTTATACTTCTCGGAAATTTTTAAAGATGTGGGCGCAGGACCCATTTTAAAATCGTTAGTGGGCGATTGTGGGCGTTAGAGGGGGCGTGGCGCTCGGCTAAAATAAACTTGCGCTGCGTAGGAAGCCAAAGAATATGTGTGGGAAATCTCAACCTTCTAGCTGTTGTAGTTTCTGAGATCTCAGCGTTCATACAGACGGACAGACAGACAGACGGACAGACGGACATGGCTAGATCGACTCGGCTAGTGACCCTGATCAAGAATATATATACTTTATGGGGTCGGAAACGCTTCCTTCTAGCTGTTACATACTTTTGCACGAATCTAGTATACCCTTTTACTCTACGAGTAACGGGTATAACTAGGGGAACGCAATTTACGACAGTTTTGCCGAATTGAAATCCCCCTTCGTTAATGTTGAGCTGAGCAACTGCTCTTAACTCAGCTGTTATTGGATGGTAGATGGATGGAGTTCTGTGGGACACGAGTTTCGCATTCGTCAAAAATTCCAACCGTTTCAAACGGATGGACTCTATGGAAAGAGGCAATTATTAATTAAAGCTGCAGTAAAAAACATTAAGCATTAATTTGATGGTTTTTGGTTGAATTCTTAAACTTTTTGCGACTAATTAGGTGCTATAAACAAATAAGATCAATAAATAAAATATTTCAGTGGCCAAATACTCCGTCGCAAACTAAAACTAACGCTGATATTTCTAAATTACAACATTATTGCGTCTATGAATGAATATTGAATTGCTTTTCCAGAAATTACTGCCGGATATGATAAAATTAAAAACAACATACATGTATGCTTTGCATAGCGCAAAACATTTTAGATACGTGTTATAAATGTCTGATTTCATCGCAGTTGACACTACTACTGTGTTTATACGATGCCGAATTCTCGCTATAATTTCGCGCTTTCGGCCGATTCGTGTCTGTATAAACGCCATTACGCGAATTCGGCAACACACGAAAGTTGACTGTAATTTCAGCCCGAAAGCGTGAACTGGTGGTGCGCAACCAACTTAAGGGGGGACATCTAGGTAGAATTTTAAAAAATCGAAAATTTTTTTTTTCGGTTAAAAAATTCTTTAGGTTCTTAAAAATAACATACCAAAAAATAGAGTCCGTCAGAAGTGTCTAAGTGTCGAAATTTTCCATTCTGTGGCGATGCCTCACAGGTATATCCCGGGCACCTTAAAACTTTTAACGCGTTTTTCTCGAAACCACTTTTTTTGAGGTGGCCGGACACATAACTCGAACAAATCTTAACCGATCGATCTCAATTTTTGACAGTATATTCAGAATACCTATGTTTATCGACGGACGTACGATTATTTTTTATTTTGCTTATTTTTTTTTGTCAACAATTTTGTGTCGTTTTTTATTCAAAATAATGTTACTTTTTTTCAATCACTCACCATTTTGCAAAAAATCAATACATCGAAAAAATCCTACGTCCGTCGATAGCTTATGATGTATAGAAACTAACCACATTTTTTTTTTAAATTTAAAAATTAAGGACGTTAGTTGTCCGACCCCCTTCAACAAAAAAGGGCCTGCGAAGAAATGCTGCACAGCCGCCATTTTGTTTTCGATTTATTCGAAAAAAATTTTATTTTGTACTTCGGACCTAATATAATATAACGTAGTTTACAAATTTTCGATTGGCTTCTTCATTTGGCCAGTTACCTAGATGTCCCCCCTTAACGCTATACAGACCAGGTGGCAACGCTGTGCCTCAAAGTTAAAAAATTAAAACGCAAATTCAGAAAACAAAAGAATAACTATTAAAAAAGTTATGATATCGAAAGGATCTTTTTGGTCAGACGCCGATATTACGGAGCTGCTTGGCCTGGTGAGAAGGACAGAAACGAAAAGAAACAATCTGATTTACGAGGGTCTCGCAGAGTCGATGAAGGCTAAAAACATGAACAAGACCGGAGACCAAATAAAAACAAAGCTGAGAAGGCATAAAAATCGTATTTTGATGTGAGACGCAGCAATGCAGTCAGTGGGGCTGCAAGGAAGACGTGCGCCCACTTCGACGTGCTTGAGGACATGTATTGCACTCGCCCTGTGCTCAGGCTGTAGGAGTGGACACCTCAGAGGGAGGATTTGTAGCCATCGACGGCTTCGATGACCTAGCCAATGAGGTGTTCACCGAAGCAGAGGAGACAAAGGAAACCAATGGAGCCGCCAAAATTCTAGTAAGCATATTAATTCTCATTAACGGTAACGGTAATGTTTAATGATTTCACTTGATTTTCAGACAAGGCAAACTCGTGCATATGCTTCAGAAGATGTCAGATGACAACAAGGAGGCGTTGGACAGGCTGGAGGTGCAGAATCAAGAGTTTCTAGAGGTTCAACGCGAAATAGATGCAACCTTTCTGCAGAGCACAAGGATCGAGCCGAGACCCAGAGATTCATGCGTGAATTCTTCAACTCAAATTAAAATTAAAATAAACAAAACTAATAGCTGAAATATTTTAAAACAAAACTAATAGTGCATTTTTCATTTATTTTGAACTGCTTCTTAAAGAAAAGCTAAGATCGGATGTTTGTTGATTTTTTATACATTCTTTTCTTCTCTGGGATATAGCTTTTCATTAACATTTTAACAAAATTTCTAATTAAATTTAAAATGTATTTAGCTCCCATAGGAAGGATCAAAAAATATTGCCAAAATAATACGAAAGCAGCTACAATTTTGATTGTTTTAACCAGAGCTCGTAAGTAACTGTTAACACTTATTTCTGAAACTGTCTTGTTACTCACAAAACAGAAAAAATCAAAAAATTTTTGTCAGTCTCGGACAGAAAACAGTTATTTTTTCTTTTAAAGTGTTTTCTGTTGACTGATTTCGGCTGACACAAACTTTATTTCTGTCTCTCAATAACAGAAAAAAAGGGAGACTTTTGCTTTCACCTCACTGAATAAGTGTTTTTGAATGATCAAAACCTATAACTGTCTCAGAATAAGTGTCCATTTGGATTGTGTGCTCATTTCTAACTTAAAAATTTTAAGTCTTTTCCATATAGTTATATAAATACACTGTTTATGCGTGATATGGTTTTAGCGTATATATTTAAACTTTGTATTGCCGAATAATAATTTATTTTATAAAAATTTGTTCATGAGTGTATATAAAATTTTGATGTTTGACCAATTTTTCGAATAAACTTTATTCGGCGTTTAGCTTCACAACTAAAAGCGAATTTATGTTTTGCGCACTAAGAGAGCTTCGTTTCTCACTAAAGTCCGTATACTTTCCTTAATGGTCTGCTCCTTTAATTTAACATAATGCATAACATTACGCGATGTTATGGGGATCATAGAGAGCGCTTCATATATTGGGTCCACAATCTCGCGGAACCCATCGCTGTCTAGAAGCAAGAAAGGCCTACCATCTGTACTTACAATTTTAAAAATTGATGAAGTTAACGATTCTTCGCTGGTCGTAATTGTGATTTTTCTCTTATTCGACATTTCCCGCGCATCGCTGTTATTGCTGTTGGGCTCCAAATCATTAAAAATATCATCATGTTTTACATTGAGGTGCCTCCTTAAAATGGTTGTATGTTGACCGCTCAGTTTAATACCACACACGTTGCATGTCGATTTATTACTCCCTGATTCGTATTTAAAAAACAAATACACACTTTCATGTTTTTTTGGGCGACCCATTTTAACAAATTTTTGTTTTCAACTTTTACTGTTTTACACTGAGACACATATGAATAATTGTCCCAGAATAACTTTCTCTGGAAAACAGAAACACATTTGACACAAAACAAACTGTTTTTGAAAACAGAAATTAAACTGTTTCGTTCTGACAATTTTCCCAATGTGTCAGTAAATAAGTGTTATTTGTCGAACATATTGAAAGTGTCGACAGTTATTTACGAGCTCTGGTTTTTGAATGTTTTTGGAAGTTAATAGAATTGATCTCTAGGGGTATATAAGCTTCGGCTGGCCGAAGCTAGCTTCCTTTCTTGTTTTTCTTATATTTTACCGTCTTAATACCCGACATACACGAATTCTTGACCAAACCATTAAATGACC